CCAAATACTATTGAAATGTATAACTATATAATACGCTATACCTACTATATTAAAAAAAAAAAAAGCTGATAATGAACATGGGCTCGGCCACTGTTGTAGGTGAGAAGTTAAAAATGTAGGATACATAAGGTTATTTCATTTATATATGTAATCAACGTTAAACCATTGCTTGACGAAAGACGATTCCGAGCGTAGTTTGGTAATACATAATTTGAAGTGCCATCATTTTTTTTGCGATTTTTATTTAAATTTTATTTCAAAATGCTTATTAAAAAAAAAAAGTCCGATGTGTTTTGAAAATTTTACCACGTCTAGATTAGTTCAATATAAGTAATATTACCAAGTCAAAAATACACCGAGAGACTTAAAATTGGTTTGGTACGATTAGGCACAATTTGTAATAATTTGTTACTAAATATTCAGAGTTTTTATTCCATTTTAACTCCCTAAAACCGTTTTTATTTTGGGATGCTGGGGATGCTGACGAAGTTCGGTTAACTTAAAAATATTTTGAAATGCCGTGATTTTTACGATTTTCGTTAAAATTTGAACTTAACGATTATTATAAAAAAAAAAAAACTACTACGACATTATCCTCGAATTTTTTTTTTGAAGACTTATGATGAACTTCGATTAAAATTTTTGCTTGGCCAAAATCATTTTATTCACGTAAAACCGAATGAAAACTAAAAAAAACCTCGAAACTGTCAAATTTTATAACTCAAAATTGCCAGAATAGTTTCAACATAATATTATTACAAACTGTTAAAAAAAAGCCGAATATAAGTATTACTATCTGTGTGTTATTTAATCTATGTATCCTACTTTATACTTTTCTTTCCACCACGCTTATCCCAACTTTTTTTTTTCCTGGAATTTGAAAATATTATCAATCGTATAATATAATGTGTATTGTGATTGCCAAAAAGTTAAATTGGCGTGTCGGAACGTCGTTTGGTCGTATAAAATAATAACGCTGTGTATTGTAATTTATAATATTATGCATCGTCGCGTGCATATGATAAATGCCATAGATACACCAGCTCGTCGCGGTTGTGGGAATTGACATTTACATCGCCAAGGGTCGGTGGTAATTAGCGAAAACCTCGGCCCATTCATGTACGTTATATGTACTCCCTAAAAAATACCGAAAAAAATGTACTCAAAAAGCTTATTACATCGTTAAAAAAAAAAAAAAAAAAAAAAATGCATTTTTTTAAAAACTATCCGAAAAATTTAAAAAACAACGAAATATATAAAAACCAATCAACAATTTTGTCTTTAATATTATACGTTGTACTTGCAGTTAATATAAGGTTCTATTAACTCTACAATTTAGATACAGTTTTAGGTGCGTTCTGCGTTTTCTCAAAGGTGTGCAGGGTATTTTTTTTTTTATAACATACAACATGGATCAGTTATTATTGCTATATAGCTTTTAAATGTCGATGTTTTACGTCAATTTTCATACACATATAATGCAAAACCGCCGGAATAAAAATATATCAAAAAAACTCTCCGAGAGAACACAGATGATACTTGTAATTTTTCAAACATCATCATTACTGTAATGGGGTTTGGGGTTCTCATTGCCGCAAATCGATTTTTCCGTTTATTTCACGATTGCGCGATAAATATACGAGGTAACGTCACGCTTGGTAAATATTATTTGTTTGAAATTTTTTATTTGAATATTTGTTTTTTTAAATTTCATAAATTATAAACTTTTCGTTAAATTGCCTATTCGCGACCCCTTAAATATTGCAACGTATGTTTTGGAAACACAATTTCTCGAAATAATATTCAGAATATTGTAGTAACCTTATATTTTACACGAACAAATAAAGAGCTACAGAGCAACAACATAACAAGTCTTCTTTTCGAAATCGCTAAGGTTAGAAAAAAAAAAATGCATCCGTCAATATGGGACTTGTCTTCTGTTTGTCCAGAATAAATTCGGATGAACCAGATAAGTTCGTTTCGTTACTTTATCCGTATCTATAGTACACGGACTGTAGCATTAGTATTGGGCCAAATTACGTAGCATATTTTGTTGTTTTACTCTAAACTATCAGTCACTTTGGGCTTGTCTTGTTGTTGCATTGGGCCATTCAAATTCTCGTTACATGTATTATAAAATGCGCGCAGTAAACGATTTTAAAACGTATTTTTGTCATACCATTCTGTAATTAATAGACATTTTTATCTGTAATCATATTTTCTTATTGTGTACGTAGCGTCTTCGGACTGTCAATTTTTCTAAAAAATAAAAAAAAAAAAAAAAAAAAAAATGCAATTTGGATTCGAATTCGGGATTCATAAACGATTTAGCGTATTGGTTTTTTATTATGGACCAGAGTATTTCCGTACGCCGTTGTACTTATACGTAATTACAGTACTTATTGTTATTGTTTTGCTGTTTTTTTTTTTTTTTTTAACAAATCGTTTTCTTCCGATTCCCGTTTATATTATTGTACACGGCCGCCGTAATAACACTAATCGTAACAACAACAATAATAATAATTGTTATTTGTTATAAGTTATAACTTTATAAGTTATTAGCGATATTATGCGATACCGGCGGAAATACGAGGTCGCCGTACCGCGCGTGTCCGGCAGTTCTTCGCGTATCGGCGGCAGCAAACACAGCGAACCTGTCGCCGGGTTCGTTTTTTATTTATCGCCTTGCACAACGAGATTTTTATTGCAGTTTCGTTTCGGTTTGTCTCTCTCTTTCTACCACTCTTTTTACCGGCCGTCTCGCCCGAAACTTGGCAACACGAGCACGCAATAACGCAACAAAGTAATTTTTTTTTTTCTTATAAAGGATGACTATGAAGGAATACTATATTATTATTATTATACCTTCTTCGCGTTACAAAAATTGTGACGACCGAATGCCGATGATCGCGCGCAATAATTCTGGCCGACTGTGTGACGTGAATTTTTGATCGCCCCGTACTACGCGTATATATGTCACATTCGTTTACGTGCAATAATAATTTAATAGTCGTACACCGTTTTTGTTCTCTGTGTAATGTTCGTGAAAAAAATAAAAATAAAAAAATGGACGTTCCGCGCACCGCATTAAAATTATTATGAATTTTCGAAACGATTCTGCGGGATATTATACTATTGCATTAACAGTTAACCAATTCGATAACGTTTTGTAAAGCTATACGAACGCGTGTGACACATAACGTTCTTTTAATTTATGCTCTTTGCCTACCAAACCATTTCGTTTCTGTCGCACACAGTATGTCGTTTCCCATTCCACTCCAATTTCGTCTAACACATCCTGAAACGCCGTCCTTTTATGTTCTTCTTGGTCTTTTCATTATTAACCTGCGGGTTCAGTGCCTGATTAACCGATAGGCTGAATGAGCTGAAGCCTATAGGACGCCAATCGGCCAATGTTGAATGGGGGAACCAACAAATAATTTTTTTTGTTTTAATTGATTTCTGTCCATATACGTAGCCGGATATTTTTGTTTTTTGAAGGGGTATGCATAAGAGTTTATAGGTAAGGCTGGTATTTTTTTTTAACATAAAGGGCCACATTAATAAAAACGGTACATTTTACGTAAATAATACTACATAATTAGGTACTATTAAAAACTATACTAACAGTTTACATCAGTGTTATGATACAATATATTGGTATGAGTATACATTATGACAGGGTTAAATTTACTAAACAATTTGCTTTTGGATAAAAAATATTATGGAAAATTTTAAAATGTAAAATTTTAAACTGATGCGGTTTCTATAGCTGAAATTCATTTGGGAAATTGACGATACCGGCGGCTTGCAAACTTGTGGCTGAGGATTCGTAATACACCGTGTAATTAATGTTTATCGCTAATATTTATCGACGTAAAGAGTGTTTACTTTTTCTGTAATTCACAATCTATATTATGTACTTAATTAATACTTTGAATTGTATATACATTACATACTGATGAGTGTCAAGTCAACAGAACTAAATTATCGATATTATTGAAACATCACGACAATATTTAACTGCGTTTTTTCGAGGGCCATAAAAACACGCGGTCCGCGAACTGCGGGTTGCCGACCTCCGGTCTACACGACACGCGTATAAGCAATACATAATACAGTGTTCAATCCTCACATTCGGAAGTTTGTCTTTAGTTTTCTTAGGTACTTTTACGATTCACTCGTTTTAGTGCGTAAGTTATACGAGGGTTCGGAATTACGCGTTTTGAATATTATATCGCCCGAGGACACAGTCCGACAACACTATAGAGAATTGTTAAGACATCTAGGGGTCCGCGGGGGCGAAACCGTGGGTAGATGCTTTCGATCGTCCTAGAACGGTTTTTTCTCGCGTATCCCGGAGGGAACCGTGAACACGATACGGACCGTCGAACGCGAGAGAAGGGAGGGCGGGGGATGACGACCAGATAATATGTCGAAGATTCTGCCGCGGTGCATCGGCGCTGATAAAATTCCGGTCCCGGCGAAGTGACGGTGACACAGATATCACCCGTGTTATTATTATTATTATGACGTACGAGAAATAATATCATTAACAATAAAATACTGTGTGCGCGTGTCTGGAAAGCGTGTCGTCGTCGTCGTTGTCTCGGAAACTGGAAAACCGGCAGCAAAACCGCCGCCGTTGACCTATACCACGGGTTTGGCATTACGACAAGTCGACGGCGGCGCGGAGATTGGCGCGATTTTTCGTTTCCGTCGTCCGGCCGCCGCGACAGTGCGGCGAGCGCGCGACTCGACTACTACGGCTCGCCGCTCCGCGCCACGCCACGCCGCAGCACGACCGGTTACCCCGAAGGTGGGGCGGTTCCCCCGGTTAACGGCCCACCTGCGGCCGTATAGAGGGGCCGATGGCGTGCGCGCCCGTGTGTTGTGTGTGTACGCGCGTGTTGCCGCCGCCGTCGCTGCGTGTGTGTACGTACAATACGCGTACGCTCCCGACCGACACGGCTCACCGCGTCTCGCGTGTCAGTCCGTCTGACATCGCCGCCGTACTCCTCCGCTCGGCTACAGCTCTCGCGCGAGCCGCTCTCCGACGAAGTGCACCAGTGTAAAGTGCGTGCGAGTGCGTGTGCGTGGGTTCGCCGATTGTGCGCGCGCTGTGTATGTGTGTGCGTGTGTGTGTGTGTGTGTGTTTGTGCGTGTTCGCCGATTGCCGACGACATTACGGGAACACCGCGGGTCAGTGTGCGCCGGTGCGTGACAATCGTTCGCGCGCGGATTTTATTATCATTTTTTTTTTTTCCCCATTATTTTTTTCGCGGATTTTTTTTCCCCCGCCCACGATAATCTACGGCTGTCGCGATACCTAACCTCATCCGTAATTACGTTCGCGCACAGCAGCTGATGACTTACGTATTATAACGTAAACGTACCGGCATGCGAACGCATCGACCACAACAACAACAACAACAATAACAATAACATTAATTTTAAACCGTGCCGTCGAACGCGCGGCGATACGCATACGGACATGCCCTGTGGATAGACCCGTCACGGCCCGCGTACCCGCGACTTTCCCGAACTAAAGGTTCGTACCAAACAATACTACAACAGTTCTATATACAACACTCTGTATAATATCATCATTTCGTTCTTCTCATTCGTCTTCTCCGTTCGGGTTTTCACAGTCTTCCGTCGCCCCGTCACCCTTCTGGTCCGGTTCCTCGTTGTGCCCGTGAAATCCTAATAATTTTACTATAGCCGGCCTAGTTTTCCCCGGGCGTCGTAAATAGTATTCCACGCACAGGTACGTACTTACCGACCGCCGCGAAGTACAATATTATAAATACGCGGACGTCCGTTGGCAAAGTTGACCTTTCGGCGACGGCGCGGGGATAATATTTGCGCTTTCGGTACAGACACCCAGCCGCCGAGTTATGTGTACAAAACGGAAGGAAACGCATCGAAAATGTTACGACAATAATAAATTAAAAAATAAATAATATTTCCTTGACACGAAATCGTGCGGATCGCGTACCGTGCGACGGCGATTCGATGGTCAAACTTTCCCCCCCTTCCCCACTCTTCCCCGTTTTTGAATCGTTGCGGTTTTTTAAAACGTTCTTGAATCGTTTTATTCGTTTCCGATTCGATAATCCCGCGCTGAACCACAATAATAATTAATAATATTATAATAGGTACTGCGTAGGTAAATTAATTATTAAAAAAAAAAAAAATCCAAATTCGTTTTGTTCCGGTCCACCGATTTTAGTGCATTCCGCTTTTTTCGTCCGTCGCGGACGATCCACCGGCCTAAGTATACCAGGCGGTTCGAGTTTCTTTCGTCAGATTAGAAAAAAAAAAAACCGCTTAATTTGAACTTAATTATAATAATTGCGTTAAACTGCAGTGATGATGGTGCACTGAGCGGAGAGATTATATAGAAGGGCGCCCTCGTAAGCGGTTTAGTTTTGCGTCTATCATTTTTAAAACCATTTTTTCTTTAAATTCGATTTTTATTTTTTAGTCGGAAAATCTTTTTGCTTTCGTACAAAGCGAGATATATTAGATTTATATTAGAAAAAAAAACAATTGTTAAAAATCGATATTTCTTATTTTGCCCGTCGGTCTTTATATGTGTTCGAAATGTGCAACGTACCTCTCCGCTCCTCGACAAAAACCTAAACGCACGGTACACTCGGTGTTAAATACGGTGCACATCGTTTAGATTGTACACATTTTTCGTTATTATATTATACTGATATTGCCGTAAATTATGTGTCATAGTAAATTTTTGTTTTTTACATAACTATCGCTTGTAATTCAGTTGCATTGGAAATAATATCAACACACCCGTTATAGGTATACACACACGTCATACACTGCAGGTACATTCCATTTCCATTTTGTTAGGTTATTGACGGGACACATACAAATAATTTTTCGTCGTATACGATAAGAACGAATTCGTATTTAAATGAATGTAAAAAATGAAAACATGTAGGTACCTACAATGTATTCAAATGTTATAGGTAATTCAAAATCCAGACGGCTCCAATATACATTATCAGGTATAGCGAACACAGGCCGCGGCATAATATTTGTTTAAAACAAAAGCCGAACACAAATCATAATCATGTCATTCAATAATAATTATTGTATTTATTTTTATAATTTTTTTTTTTTTTTCATATTTCAAGGCGGTTGGGTTTAGCATTGATAATAATAAATGTACAATATATAATAATAAAAAAAAAAAAAAAAAATAAAAATATGATACAGTGCGATATTCGTATACTATTAATATTCCGGAACACGCTCATCGTGTACACGTATATAAATGCGCAAGTACAATTACGGACAACTGGAATCTAGTTTTATTTAAATTTTTTTACTTTTTATTCGGGTAATAAAAGTTCGCGGATTACCCGCACACATTATTATGCCCGCAAGAATTTTAAGTAGTTAGGTATATTATTATTATAGGTACCTATCTCATTTAATATTATATTATTTATGTTTAAGCTGTACCCTAGGTTAAACCGATTATTGTAATGATATTTTGCTTATCAATTATTATTTCAATTGCGTCGTAGGTATAATATTATTAGGTATATAGAGGTACGTATATAAAATATAATAAGCAGGTACGTACTTTCTGTTATTTTCGTAAAATTTTGAATCGACTCGTAAATCACTGTGCAGTAATAGTAATACAACGTCCGTATTTAAATACGAAATTGTGTCGATAATGGAAAGGTTTTTTTTTTTTTTTATTGTGTTTTTATAATATATTTGTTATTATTATAATAATTATATTATCGGGTACCTATATACTATGTAGACGCTAAGATTTCTTTCACCTTTCACATTTCTGCGTACGCATGCACACGAACAACGCGAATGTATTCGCGATTTCATAGAAAATATCTAAATACATAATATACATGTTCACGATAGTTGCGATGCAAACGTTAATTTAATGTTATAGGAAGACTTATCTTTTCAAGGTCTATGTAAGCCAATAACGTTATAGTTAAATACGATTGCCCAAAATAGGAAACTGTAGTAAACCTTATTGTAAACCTATATATTACATATTTATATAGTGATACTAACATATAAAAAAAAAAACGATATTTCTATAATATTGACTTTTATTAATTATATTCATGATAAAGTATACACCCAGAGGCAAACTGGGGAGGATTCACCCCACCGTTCTATAGAATAATCGCGGCCCAAAAGGTCAAATATTTTTTCCCAATCAATTTAGTAACCTTTTTTTTTTAGCATTTTACTAAAAATTGCCTATTTTGACGAAAAACAGAAAAACCTTTAGAAGCTAAGGCCTCAGCACCGAGCAACGACATCAAAATGTTGGGATAATAGCACGTTTCCGCGAACCACAAAAAATTCATCATTTGTTTTATTTGGGTAACCGAAATTAATATTTTAAGCTTAAAGTTCTTATCGGACGGTTCTAAGGGTCTAATGTCTTCGTCTATTGATCGCTAGTGTTTTAAAAATAATTATGTTGACGCGGAGGGAGATAACCAACAGTGCCGGCGGTTAAATATCGTATACCTGTAGAGCAGCGTTTCTCAATCGCGGGTCCGCAAGAAGGTATTAGAGGTTTCGCGAAAAAAATAAACCATTATGGCGGAAAAAGTGAAAATTGTTGTATTTGATATTTGTGTTATTGTGATTGTAAATCAGTTATTCACTATACGTAGGTTTGTATATAGGTATAATATGATATATATATCATTAAGCGGCGGCACGTGTACACTGTGTGTTTCATCTAATTTCATGTCCCTATTACAAATATTTCAAATATTACGATATTTCCAGATTTTCCGTTTTACATATTTCGTAAATTCTTATCTATCTTACGTGAAAATAGATGACGAGTTGACATTTCGGGGTCCGTAAAGCAGTAGTGAGAGGTCAAGGGGTACGCGAATGAAAAAAAAAGTTGAGAAACGCTGCTTTAGATAACAATTCATTGACCCTAGACTTGTGTCCCATTTGTCCTTCTCTAGCGCCGACACTGATAATATAATCGGTTCGTTCCGCTGAACATTTTTCGCAAATAACATAACATACGTATTATACAGCGTATTAACCGATCAACCAATAAAGGCATCGCGGCCTACAACGTGTTGTAGAACAGTAGAACAACCGGCCGGCGGTGTCCGCCTGCGATTATAAACCTATAGTACCGTGAAATAGTTTCCGATGAAATAACCGTTTGGAAAAAAAGAAAGAAAGAAAGAAAGAAAGAAAAAAAAAGGTAATATTCAAATACGACAGTGAATTATTATTATTTTTTAATTGGACGACGGATTCGGTTGTTATATTTGTTTTTTCCTCGGTTATGCCCGCCCGAAACGCGCTACGAATAATATTCAACGCGTAGTACACGATGTTAACGCGATCTCGTCGAGCTCAGACCTTATAGTATTACACGGAGCGAAGAGTACACCGGCCGGTGCATGTTGAAATTCGAGTTTTCGTTAAAACGCGCGCGCAGGGCCGTCCCACGAGGATTTATAGCGACGACGATGACGACGACGCGACGTCGAGATAATGTGCAGGTGCTACGCGCGCTACACCCGGGCACCGCCACTCGAAAACGATTATTAAACTTCGTGGGACGTCGGTAGTCGGCCGTGCGCATATCATTATTGTTGTATTGGTAAGCGGTATACGAGATTTCGGACGACGGGGACCGGTGAGGAGGAAAGGGAATAATAATAAAAAAATAATAATAATAAAAATGTAAAAAAAAAAACAACCGATTCGACGGAACGCGCGCATAACCGACGGCGGCGGCGGTCGGCCGGTCCGGTTGAACGCCGCGTCGCCGCGTGTTATTCGTCCCGGCGGCGCGGCGCGTTTTCAACCGCATACCGGTTCTCCCGCATCGGCCACGACGCTGTCCGGGTACCCACTAATAATATTATTTTGTACGAACGCGATCGAGATTTTATTATGTTTTTTTTTTTTCTTTTACTCTTTCTCCGCGACGTCCAGTTTATCGGGCCGCATAATGCCTATAATATTGTAACGCGGTGACGAGACGACAGAGAGTGGATCGGGCGGGCCGACGGATGACGAGCGAGACGGAGAGATTATACGCGTGCAGCCTCGGGTACCCGTAATACAAGACGAATATAATATAATAATATTATCGTATCGGTCGAATTATATCGCACTTACGCAAACGCAACGCCGCCGTATGATACGCGTTTAGTCCTTTGCAGTAACCGTGTCGCGCGTACGCGTGACGTGTGCCGCACGCTGTAGCGTATTATCGTTACATAAAAAAAAAAAAAAAAATCTTATACCAAAGCCAAACCTCGGCGTGCTTATGGGTACGTACGTATTATGTATGGCCGTAGCATACGTACGATAGCGGATAATATTTTGCGATTTCTTTTGTGCGGCCGCGATCTGCGCCGATCGGTCCGGACCGATCCTCCGGCCCGGTATTACCATTATTATTTAATACCGACCGCAGACAATCCCGCGCGTATACGTACGCGCCGTAACACCCGCATATACAGGGTGTTACGTTTTGTAGACGGACCGGCGGAGAACGTTTGTGTATTGGAATATTGGATTTTCGTTACCGAAACACCTATAGCTCTGTGTCGGCCGTCCGTTTTCACGCGGGCGGAATTATGGGGACGGGGAAGTAGCTTATGTTTTTATTTCCGGTCTAATTTCGTATGTAGACGTACGAAATTTCAACTCGATCCGTTCGGCAGTTTGGGAGATGAGTGATCACGAACATACCGAACGTACGTCCGTCGTTGTAATTGTTACAATATTAGTACATAGGATTATAATACGAATTTCAAATGTGCAATACAGCGCATATAGGTAACACAACAATAACGGATACGGGCCGCGGAGGGGTACCGATAGCTGATGTATGAAAAAGCAACGCTTCAACACGTTCGGACGATCGAAACGTATTCAGACGTTTCGCTTTTCGAATCAGAGTTTC